TTGATCCTGTTGCGACTTGAACTCACATGTGTTTAACCAGGCTGGTCCTTGCCACCACAATGTATGCTCCTTTAATTGTGTAGCTGATAGTCCTCTGCTTGCTGAATCCGCTGGATTTTCCTTTGTTGACACGTAACGCCAAACGTCAGGTGGCAATATGCTAGTTATTTTCTTAACTCTATTTGCTACGAATGGCTTCCATCGATCTGGGTTGCCTTGTATCCAGCTAATGGTAACCTTTGAGTCACTCCAAGCGATGATTTCGTGATTTATATTTACTAAGCTAGAGACTATTTTTTCTAACAATCTGGTTAAAAGCTCCGCTCCGCAAAGTTCCAATCTCGGTAGCGAAACTGTCTTGCTGTTTGGTACTAATCTAGTTTTTGCTGCTACTAGTACCACTGAAACCTTATCTCCTGTCAATATTCTGGCATATACAACAGATGCGTATGCTTTTATGGACGCATCACAAAAGCCGTGTAATTGGATAATATCTCCGCGCTTGCCTTTTAACCAACGAGGTATTTTAAACTGGCTGATACACTCCATGTCTTCAGTTAACCTGATCCATTCGTTTTTAATTTCTGCCGAGACTTCATCACTCCACTGAATTTCATCCAGCCAAACCTTTTGAAACAGTAATTTGAATTTAGTCGTCAGCGGTGCTAGCCAACCTAAGGGATCAAATAGCCTTGATATTTCTGACAGGAGTTTTCTTTTCGTAAGCTTTGTGGTATCTGCTGATGCTGAGTTATTTTGAAAGGAAAATTCATCCGTTGTAGGATCCCATCTTAAACCTAAAGTTTTTGCTGTTTCCTCCGTTTTAAAAATGAAGGATGTTGCTTGAATATTTTGGTGTGATGAATTTATAGCTCCCATTAATCTCTTATCGTTTCCTGACCATTTTCTAAGTAAAAATCCTCCGCTGTTTAGACACGAATTTAATTCTGCTATAATTCTTTTTCCTTCATCGATAGAATCTGACCCCGAAACTAAATCGTCCATGTAAAAATCTTCCCGAATTATTTTAGCTGCGTTGGGAAAGTTATGCTGCTCATCTGTAGCTAGTTGCCGAAGGGTCATCATCGCCAAGAAAGGTGCGGATTTTGTGCCGTAGGTAACCGTAGTTAACTGGTATGCCTTTATTGGTAGCATGGGATTCGATCGCCAAAAAATTAGTTGTAGTTTTTGATCTACTTCGTTAACAACAATTTGCCGAAACATCTTCTCAATGTCGGCGGTAAATACATATCGATATTGCCTCCACTTGAGTAACAATGCCTGAAGGTCTCGCTGCAAGTTGGGACCCCGATGCATTGCATCATTTAGACTACATCCTGATGAGGTTTTCGCGGACGCATTAAATACGACACGTAGCTTCGTGGTCGATGAATCTGCTCTCTGAACACCATGATGGGGCAAATAACATTCCATTTGCTGGCTGGTGGAAGTTGCTAATTTCATGTGTCCCAATTCCTCATATTCCTTTAAAAATTGCTTGTACTGCTGTGAAAAATGTTCTTGTTTGCCAAATTTTTTCTCTAGATTTCTAAATTGGGCTAGTGCTATCTCCTGGGAAGATCCTAATTTTTCCGCGGCATGCTGCTTCATCGGTAACCTTACTTCATAGCGTCCGCTTTCAAGACGTTTAGTCGTTGATAAGTAGTACTCGACACATTGTTCGTCTTCTGCTGATATTTCATTTTGCTCATAAATATCCTCAATTTTCCAAAATTGATGAATGTCCGCTGTATTGTTTAAGATGACATTACAATGAAAGTGTGGCTTTAAACTGCCGCATAGTATCCATCCTAGCTGGCTTTGCTGAGCTAGAGGCGAAGATGAATCCGAGTTTCTTATCAAGCCATCTAACATGATAAGAGCATAGGCGTCTGCTCCGAGTAACAAGTCTACTGGACGGCTTACGTAAAATTCCGGATCTGCCAAGTTAATGTTTTCCAAATGCGACCATGAAGGCCTTTCAAATGAACGATTTGGTAGGTTTTTGATAAGATTTTTCATAATCAAAACATCCGTATGAAATTCAAAGCTATTGTATATCGATTGACATACAATGTTAAGTTTGCCCTTACAGTTAGCATCTTTTTCTCCGATTCCAAAAATGACTCCATCAAATTGCTGTCGCTTCAAACCTAACTGTTGAGCTGCTTTCTCACTAATTAGTGATATTTGTGAACCCTGATCAATAAGAGCTCTCAGTATCAGCGGCGTGTTGTCTGCTGACTTAACCTTCACTAAGGCCGTAGCTAAGAGGACCTCAATATGATGTTGCTGAGATGCATGAACGTTATTGTTTGCTTGAGACATATTTTCTTCTTGCTTATTGTTATTTGATTTTTGTTTTACTTGACCGGACGTTGAATGCGATTTTTGCTGCACAAAGCATTCATGTAATATAGTATGGTGATTTTCCGAACACTTGCGACATCGTTTTGTTGAATAGCATTTATTGCCGTTATGATTAAAAATGCAATTAATACAAATGTTATTTTGTTTGACGGTTTTAAGTTTCATTTCATTAGGCAATTGAAGAAACCTTTCGCATTTGTATAGACCATGCTCAGCAGAACAAAGAGGGCACTTAACTCCCGACACGTGCATCGATTTCGTAATAGATCGATTCGCCTTGTAATGATCATATTTTCGATTATTTGTAGATGAAGTTGAAGAACCGGTTTGCTGATGAGAGGACTGTAATTTTGGTGGGACATCTTGACGTCGACGAGCTGATTCTAAGCTAGTAAATTTATTTTCTAAGAAATCTAAGAAGTCTTGTAGCACAGGTAGCTCTCTGGCGTTCTTTAACGACTCTATATATTCGGAATAAGACTCACTATCTAGCTTGTTTGATAAAATATGGACGAGTAGAGGGTCCCACGTTCTAATATCCACACCTAGGTTTTTGATAGCGTGTATACTCTCTAATGTAACGTCATGTAATTTTTTAATAGCTAAAAATGATTGCTGCTGTATAGTGGGAAGATTCAAGAACACATTAACATGGGAAGTAAAAATTAATTTCTTATTGTCAAATCTATGGTTTAGAATATCCCAACAGACAATATAATTTTCAGAGCTGATAGGCAAGTGCTGGATTAAACGCTCGGCTTCTCCTTTAACCTTACTTTTTAGGAATTGCATTTTCTGAGCGTTAGATAATGCTGTATTTTTGTGGATAGCTTCGCAAAAAAGGTCCTTGAATGACACCCACTGCTGATAATTGCCCGTGAAGACGGGAATTTCCATTTTTGGAGTTGATTTTTCACGATAGGACGTTGACCACATTTTAGAGTTGATAGATTTTTTCATCCTGTTGAAAGTTCGCTCGTGTTTGCTAAATTGGAAATCATAGTCCTTTACTAGCTCCTCACCCGACTCGCTAATGATTTCCCAGTGAAGGTTATCAATGGTGCTCCAACGGTTTTGGAGAGTTTGAAGAGCATCTTCGAACTCCCATTTGTCGACTAATGTCTCAACATCAATATTGTCGACAGCTCTTACGAATGCCATAAAGTTAACCGATTGCTTATGAAGCATATCATCAAGCTTGCTGTTGGATCCTCTCGACTCAAACTTCGGAGGCGCGGATGCCATTGTGTTAGGCTCCGGCTGGCTCACTGAAGGCCCCGCCACTTCTTGCTGTGCTGGTTTTGAGTCTGCTGATTGCTGACCCCGTTGACTCAACTCATTTTGACGTTGAAGGATCAGTCTTCTGGCTGTCATGTAAATTTCCTCTGTACGCTCAAATTCCGAGTTGACGAAGTACTTATGATTTGTTTTTTCAAAAGGAAGAATCTTCTCATGATTTACTTGGAATTCCTCCCAATACTTCTCAAGTAGCTCGATTTTACGCTTACAATAGTCAAAAGTTTTACGCTCAACGCTATCCTTTTTGAAATTACTGAGAAGCTTCCCCAAACACTCCGAAATCTCGGATTGATTGAAATACAGAGTCTCCATCTCACTGCTGTTGCTAAAATAAGTAAAAATGAACGATCTTACTTGAGAAAGTTGTGGTTGCTGTTAGCCCGACGAGGGTTGCTCCCCAAGTCAGTGATTCGCTGGTGGTGTTGTTGGTGTGAGGTGTTACTCGGTACGATGTAATGAGCACTTCACTCACTACACTGCTGCTAAAGTCGTTACCACTACAGTCACTGCTAAGCTAGCGAATACTGTAATCAATAGTTTCACAAGTTCGGTACAAGTTCACTTCACTGTCGTAAGTCCCGAAAAACTAAATAAACGACCGCAAAGTACTTGAATCCGGCTCGAAGGACCAAAATGTAGGAGTCGCGACCGAAGTGATATAGACTTGTTACGCTGATAAATTAAATACTTAAATAACTTCAAGGATTTATTGCAAAATCGATAAAATTACGCTAAATGAAATGCTAATGAGTACGAACGCACCCGGTTTGCTGTCCGAATATGTACTGAAGCCACGCTGCACTTAGCGTGTCGTGTTTGGGTCGCTAGATCAGCAAAACGTGTTCGATCGTGGATAATGTATCGAACATGTTTTTTTTTTTTTTTTTTTTTTTTTTTTTTTAACACAACACAACACGCAGCGCGTAGTACATAACATAAATAACATCTTTTCTATATTCAACACTACATCACGACTTTTATACCCGAAGGGGTAGGTAGTGGCGCACATTACGGCACTTAATGCCACTAGAATGTCACATGCACTTTTCACTATTTATGTCATGATTTCCATGTAATAGGGGATGAGCCTATTGCCATATAGCGGGCTCTATACAACTGAGATTTTTTAGTAATAGTTTTCCCGACCCGGGCATTGAACCCGAGACCCTTTGCCCGGCGATCGGACTTGCGACCACTCGGACAACGAGGCACTTAAAATATGTAATACTTCTTAAAGCTGCCGAAGATTTGATATGTTAACACTAATCTCAAAAACTACAAATCTAAATGAAATGAGTAAGTAGATATATACAAGGAGTACGTACTCGTACCTGGTCTGGATGCGGCATGCGCGCGTGCGGGCGGCGCTCGCACGTCGACGCACAGCCCACGCCGCCCACGCCGCCCACGCCGCCCACGCCCACGCCCACGCCCATACCCGTCATCGCTGGAACACATACGACGTCGTCACACTAAAAAAAATGGACTCATGACATGCCCACGGAGCCCAATTGGTTTCATTTCCATTTTTTTCTCATGATGTCATTCTACAACATGATTTCTGACTACAACAACTACACACACATAACTGAGAATAATAATATTTATTAAGTTTACAACTTTATATTAAACTACGAATAATTTAAAATTTTAATTTTTGATTTATAAGAACTTTTTAGAGAATTGTTTAAAGAACAACACAGTAATAAAGGGAAAGTTAAAATGTTCACAATATGATCGCTTACCACTTGATTATATCAACACTCTGTATGTGACGAGTACAGTCCAATGATGAAGTACATGAACCATGCAACGTGAAGATTGAAGTGAGAAGAAAAGTACGTATTTACAATTGTACTGTCTGATCAGATGTATAAGACGCCTGTCACATTGTGGATTATTGAGATATTGTTGTCAGGTGGTACAAAATAGTTCATTCCTTAAAACAATTGTAACACGCTACTTTATACATCTCATTAGATTTCCTTTGGAAAATAGACTTTTCTATCAAACGATGGAAAAAAGCCTATAATTATGTACACATTAAATAAGAAGATGTGTCACAAGCAACAAAGAAGTGAGTAAAGAAGCGAACATGAAGATGTCTCACGTCTGGGCATATAGTCGCAGCGGTCGCAGGCGTCGCAGCGGTCGCAGCGGTCGCAGGCGTCGCAGCGCCGCGCCACGCACGTGTCGTCGCTGGCCGCCGACACCGAGCGCGACTCTACAGGCCACACTACTCACTCCACTACACTAGGCGCATACACTACCTACCTCACTCCGACCACACATCGAGCTAGGCACAATTTTTTATTAGATGGGACTGAAGATTGACCACTATCTCGCCTCGTGGTGCACGATAATGCGGCCTACGATGGAGCACGTCGACCCATAAGCAATCGGGCCTTGAAGACTCCCTGGTTATACCCTTCAGGAAACACAGACTCTGGCAAAGAATTCCACTCCTTAGCAGTACGCACAAGGAAGCTTGATGCGAAGCGCTTCGTGCGTGTGGGTGGGACATCTACCATGAATCGGTGACGCTTCGCCGATTGTCTTGTGGTACGATGATGGAAAGGACTAGGGGAATCAAGTTGTGCAATTCCCCCGCACACTCTCCGAAATGTATCCGGTAAACGATTGAAAGGCTTGCAACCTTACGCCTGTGTTTGAGGCTTTGAAGCCGGGCCTCCATAAGCGTATCATCGTTGATGAGCCTCCTGGCACGCCTTTCGATGTGCTCTAATGCGTCCAGATGATATTTGGCCGAGCCGTCCCAAGAATGAGAGCAGTACTCCATACAAGACCGTACCTGCGCCTGATACAGGCTCAGCAATTGCTTCGGCGTGAAGTACCGTTTCACCCTCCATAGGATACCCAGCTTCCTACCAGCCAGTTGCGCTTTTGACTCTATACCTCTATAGGAGCCAAAGTTGAGTGTGGGCGTCAGAGTTACGCCAAGAAGCTCAAGATGATCAGTTATCGGTACGGATACATTCCGGAAAGTAAGAGTCAGCGGAAATTGACTCCGTTTGGCGGAGAATAGACACGCCTGGGTTTTGCTAGCGTTGAACCTAACCAAGTTGGCATCACCCCAGTCGGAGACCACCTTCAAGGACGAGCTCAAACGCTCGACCATGGATTCTCTTAGAGACCGGATCTGTGTTCCGCTAGTCCGCGCATCGGACACATACTTTTCAACAACTGTACTGTCATCTGCATACCCAAAGATACCGGGCCTAAGCAGGTCGTTTATGTGCTGCAAAAAGACCGTCGCTGCAAGTACTGACCCCTGAGGGACGCCGGCATTAATACCGAATTAGTCAGACGAGCAGCCATCGATGACTACTCGTATTGACCGATCTCTCAGGATCTGCTATCCATCCGCACAGACCAATAGGAAGTCCATATGCAGGAAGCTTGCCGATAAGACTTTCGTGCCATACCCTGGCAAAGGCCTTCGAGATATCGAGGGAGACAATGCCTCCCCGTGCCTCTCGATGACCTCGCTCCAGATGTGAGTGGCATACGCAAGAAGGTCCCCAGTCGATCGGTTACGTGAAACCCGTATTGCAGATCGCTGATCGTATCGAAGATCGTTATCTTCAAGGTATGCACGGAGTCTGTTGTTAAGTACACGTTTCAGTCTTGCAGAGTAAAGACATGACCGAAATAGTTAGGGTCGGCACGACTACCTTTTATGGGCACAGGCTGTACGTTGGCCAGCTTCCATGCAACCGGTACTAGACCCGTCTCTAAGGAAAGGCGAAACAGACGTGTCAAGATTGGAAACAACTCAGGCGTTCAGGTTTTTAAAACCATGGTTGGGATTCCACCGGGACCACTGGCCTTGTTCACGTCAAGATTGCGCAGTGTCCTATATACCTCCTTCTGACGTTTGCGAATTTTCGACATATACGTCTCGCATACGCTATTAAGAGACTCCGCAAATATAGAAGCTAATAGGTTTGCTTTCTCTATCGCAGATGGAGCCAGCATCCCGTCAGACCTCAGGAGCGGAGGAAGTGAGGAGCGACAGACGTTCATTTCAACCGCCTTGGCCAGGGACCAAAAAGCTTTACTTCCCGCTGGGTAGGAAGCTAGTTTGTTCCCTAAAAGGCAAATATGGTTAAATCGAGCCATCCGTAAGGCCTTTTTGCATGATTTGGCAGCCCGGTTAAAGGGTCTCTTCGGACACAGATTTCACCAGACAGTGGTTAGAGCTGCCTAGGAGTGATGCGACTGTCACCGAGTAGCGGTCTGGATCAGTTGTCAGCAGAAGTTCTAAGCAATTGGCAGTGTGCGTATCGACATCGGTGACCTATACCGACCTACCGATGTCGATAGGTGATAGTGATAGGTGGTGTCGATAGGTGCCCTGGACCAGCTGGGTCAGGCCAAGCGTTAGCGCAAGCTTATTCATTTCCCTTCCAGCATGGTCGGTGCACTGGTATGGGAACAACCACTCCCGATGATGGGCGTTAAAGTCCCCCAATAACACCAACTGGGCCGAAGAATACTCGTGCCAAGACGCATCCGCCGCCCCACCAAGGTATTGAGCTAATCTGGTCGTCTCCAAATCTCTGCTGTGCGACCGGTAGACGCAGGCATAAAGAATTTTCTCAATGCCTGTGTCCACCAGTATCCATAGGGCAGAAAAACTGGGGTCTTCAAGGTTTCGGAAACGTCGGTAACAGACGCCGTCTCGGACGTATACGCATACTCCTCCACGCGGAACAAAATTGTACTCCAGGGAAAAACCTGGGTAGTTCAGGTAGGATACGTCCGACGGGCATGCGATCTGAGTCTCCGAGAGAAACAAGAGTGTAGGGTTCTCGGTCTCGAGGTGGTGATGGACCGCATTGAGATTAGAGTGCAGATCTCGAACATTTGAGAGGTGCATTTTGAGGGAGAGGGAGTGCAGGCGCTGTTGAACCCTATTCTTTTTTCTCGATGGTTTCGTTGTGGAGTGGAAGGTTGCTGAGAGGATGGCGACGACGCGCACTGCAGTTAGCCACACCATTGGGAGGCCAGTCTGGAGACTGCGGGGACGCCCGAGCCACCCCATGAATATCCATCGGGCTCTCTCCTCCGGTCGCCAACCGGCACGATGGCGTATCCATGGGATTTTTCGCTAGATGGTGGGGCAGCCTTTCACGTGTGGCTAGCACGCTAGTTAGGCCCCCAATTACCTGCGGCCTCGGACCCCGCTACCCTCGATTGGACACCAGTGCGCGTCAGACCAGTCAGCCTACAGTGGAACAACCATCTTGACCCATCCTCTTTCCACCAGAATACACTGGACGTTGCGTGTACGCAGGGCGTACGAAGCGAGGCTATGATATTTATAATGGTTTTGTATAACTCGATGTGAAGCCGTGTGACAGTACTCTCGACAAATTTAATCACGACCCACTCGCCAATACGACAAAGACCAAGATCGTTCCTATATTAAAAGTGTACAGGAGTATGAGTGCGTGGTGGGTCATAATTGCAAGTTGTCGATAGTACAAATGAGAATGACACATATACAGGGTGATGTAAAACGTGACGAATGAAATGAGTGTGTATATGTCCATGCTCGAGTGCTGTGGGTACGTACCGACGTAGGTGGGCACGTGGTGGCGGCGGTCGAGCGAGGCGGGCGGCGGGTGGCGCGCCGGCTCGTACTCGGCGGCCGGCGCGCGGCCCAGCGTCAGCGTCGACGACATCAGCGCGCCGCCCTCCACGCTGCCCGCAGATACTGGGGGCAATGTACTGGCGTCATTACACCGCATGAACGCATCATAGGAAGAAAAATATTTCGGTTGCTACTACTTGCAAAAATGTTAAAATAAAATTATGTTACCAGACTACAATTGTGGTAAAAAGCAAGTGGAATTTGAACTGCTTCAACTTTCGACTAAATGTTTTGTAAATAATCTCTAAAACATAAAATTATGTATTTTTCTATTAATCTCAGGTTGTACAGAACGATGTCTGCAGTGTGCAGTTGAGTACGTCGGTAGTATAGTGTATGTCGGTGTCGTACTCTTACTAGCGGAGCTGTGCAGCGACTTGTCCATATGTTTGAGCTCCATCTGGTCGTGGTGGATCCACAGGTCCGGCGGCTTGATGGCGGCCGACGCTGACGACTTCTGGTACGTCGACGTGTCGGGGGACAGGGGGGGCGTCGTCCTCCGGCAGCACAGGGACAGGGCCAGCGCGGCCGCCAGCCCCAGCACGGCCACGGCCCCGCCGGCGCTGGCCCACAGCCAGGCCGACGTGGCGCTGGCCAGGCCCCCGCCGGACCCCGCCTCGGCCCCCGTGGTGTACGCTACAGGCGCACAGAAGGGGCCGAGCCCCTTGGAGTTCCGTGCCTGTAGCTTGAATAGATAGTTGGTGCGGGGGCGCAGTCTCTCCACCCTGGCGCGGGGCCGGTCCCCGGGGGCTGCCACCGCCGTCCACTGCGGGGACGCGCCCGATACTGCGTACATTATCACGTAACCTGCAGAATAAAGTTAAGATCAACACGACGCAAGTACTTATTAAATTCATTAATAGTTTTCTGCCCGAGGAACTTGCAATTAAACTTTCCTTAAAAAAAATATGGTACTTTTTGAATGTATCTCGAATTTGAAAAGACTTATTACAGCATATTATTTCATTAGTAAGTTACGTCAATTTAAGATTGTTTTTGGTTCCCATTGAGTGTAGTGAGCGGAGCAAAATACTCCGCTGAGTCTCTTGTGACGACAAACTACAAGAGGTATATCACGATTTATCTATATAATTTGATCTATATAGCAAATACTGAAGTACTGACCAGTAATGACCCCGTTGGGTTTAGCGGGCGGCTGCCAGGCGAGGTCTACTGCGCGGGCGGGGGACGCGGGGGGAGCGGCGGGGGACACGCGCAGCTCGCGCGGGGGGGAGCCGGGGGACGTCTCTAGAGTGGTGTTGGACACTAACATCGACCATGCTGACTCGCGACCTCCTGCACAAACGAACATAGTGGTACACAGGACAAATACAAAGTTATACTATATTATTGTGTTTAAGCACGAGGCAGGAGAAGGAATACGTGGTTTTTAGGCGGTAAGAGTCCTGACACTTTCTCTTCTCCCTCCTCAACAATGGTTTTCCTCCGTCATAAAAAGAGGCGACAAACGAGCAGATGGATACACATAACACCAGAGGACTTACAAATTCGTTGCCGGGCTCTAGAGGATTGAGGATTTGGGGTATTGACAAATGGGGATTATCAATTTGGAGTCCGTGGAGGACATATTAACCACATTTGTACGGTCCACCCGTACAATTATTGGAATATTGTAGAATAAGTACTTTTGTACCGCGAGCGCACTTTACTTCAGTTCGCGTTCGATTCTCGCCGCGGTTACTCATTTGTATCATGTAACTATCATTAAAGTTATATTATCACTATATCATCGTATCATTTGTAGTTGTCCCGTACAACTTTTTGGTCCTTCGAGCCACCGAATCGGCGGGGCCTTGCGCGTGTTACAACACAAGTATCACCCCGCTAAACTAGTGAGTGGATATTCTGGAACATTACTATCAGAGGAACCACTATGTAATAAAGCAGCAGATACCGGTGAGTGTGCCCTCATTTTAATCGCCACAGCGAAGCATCTGGTCTACATCTTCGAGTGGACTCGTTGCGAGGTTAGCATCATTTTGTTGTTGCATCACCAACCTCAGCATCATTATCAGTAATCAGAATAGACTTATCAGCTCTGTCAGCTAGCACCAAGGGTTTACAGGGTATCTATTCTCAAGGAAGCTTATCACTGAAGCTATATCATCTCTAACATGGAGAACCTAATGGAAAATCAAAACCAAATTATGCAAGGCATGGAACAAGTCTTGCGTAATTTTAAAAAAGATGGACCTGAAAGAAGAACCTCTACTTATGTTAAAAAACGTATAGAGCTTCTCGATTCATATTGGGAAGAGTTCCAGTCCAATCATAACAAATTAATAAAATCTGAAGACCGTGGCTACAGCTACTTTTCAGAAAATTATTATAACAAAACTAAGACCTTTTATAACGAGGCACGTGAATACATACAGCAGAGCATGGTCACCATGACCAACCCTAAAATTATCGAAGCACCGACTATTCCACAATCATCTAGGCAAGCAGCTGAAGTGGAGAAGAGTCAGGGGCACGGTAGCAAATCGACAGATATTGGGGATATTCAGCAAACAACCACCAAGGTTACAACCAAGGCGCCGATATTTTACACTTCACAAGGTAACAGCAGCAAGCTGGAAGAAATGCTTAGAAAACAAAAGAGTAATTTCAAGGCTTTCTCGCGTACCATAGCAACTATAGATTTAGATAAAATATCGGAAAAGTGGGAGTTTGATGATCATTTACAAGCTGTTCAGTCAAGATGGTCAACAATAGACTCATTGCATTGGGAGATTGATAGCGAAACAATTGATGAAAATCAAGAGTATGAAGAGTTGTTCAGCAAATACGAACAACTTTATCAAGAAATCAAGCAAAATATCAACCGTAAGATGTGGTCTGTCTCTCACCGTGATAAGAGTACCCCTAAGATGGACATCCCAACATTTAATGGGAATTATCATCAATGGATAGCATTTAAGGACTTATTCACGGAATCTATACACAGCAATCGCTCCATCTCCTGTGCACAAAAGATGCAATTTTTGAAATCTAAGCTCAGAGGTGAACCAGAGAGACTCATCCAGCACTTACATATTAGCACCGAGAACTATAAGGTCTGCTGGGACATATTAAACCACAGATACAATAACACAAAATTAATATTTAGCTCTCACGTCAATATCCTTTTATCATTACCAACTATGCAACAACAGTCAGCTTCTCAAATAAAAAAAATGTATGACATTACTAATGAGTGTCTGAATGCGGTTAGAAATCTTGGAGTTGACACAGCAACGTGGGATCCATTTGTTGTTCACATACTAGCATTGAAACTGGATCAACAGACCCACTCTGACTATACGGACTCTTTGAAAAACCCACGAGAACTACCAATATTGAGTGATTTTTTGGGATTTCTGGAGAATAAGTTTACATCATTAGAGGCATCACGGCGTAAGCAAGATGTGCAAAAATCAGATATCAAATCAGATAACAAGTCTCAACAAGAGCCCAATAATAAGAAGCATTTCTATAAATCAAGTAAATCATTTTTAAACAACTATTCAACTAAAAATCAATGGAAATGTCCGGTTTGTGGAGAAAATCATCGCTTATTCAGTTGCAAGACCTTCGTAGAATCTACATCAGATTCTAAACGCAGGACAATCAATAAACTGAATTTATGCAAAAACTGTCTTTATGACCACAAAGGTAAGGCATGTATTTCCGATAAAAGATGTCGTGAATGTCATGGTGAACATAACACCTTGTTACACGACACCTACTCGGGTTCCAGTAGCGCGAAGTCTGACGCTATCGCTTCGACATTAAAGGAACGGAAAAATGTCACACACGTATCAAATCCAGAGATATTTGAAACTTTGTTGGCAACAGCTCAAATCAAGGTTATGGGAATAAACGGGATTTATTATCCTATGCGTGCTCTAATAGATCAAGGATCCCAAGTATCATTAATAAAGGAAAAAGCTGCACAAAGATTGGGACTTCCTCGACGAGCATGCAAGGGGGTTGTAATGGGAGTTGGTGCCAAGGAAAATAATTGCAAGGGTGTTATACAAATTGAAGTATCGGCAGTGTATACAGATTTCACTTTTTCCACTGAGGTAATTATCATGAATACTCTGCTTCACAATCTACCCAATCGATCATTCCAAAAGCCATCATGGGCTTGTATAGAGCATGTTAATTTAGCGGATCCCGAATATAACCTTAGCCGTCCAGTCGACATACTACTAGGAGCTGATGTATACTCATCAATCATCATGAATGGTATCATCAAGGAGGGCGATTCACAGGTAGTGGCGCAGCAGACTCGCCTTGGCTGGATTCTAAGTGGGAACATTATATCGTACCAATGCAGTGTTGTCCTAAATAACATAGATGAGATCCAGAGATTTTGGGCAATCGAAGATGTTGCAGATGAGAATCAGAACAAGTTGTCAGAAGAAGATTATCAGTGCATACAGCGTTATAAAGCAGACACATCAAGAAGAGAAGATGGTCGTTACGTTGTCAGATTACCTCTTAAAGCAAATATTGAGGAAAAATTAGGAGAGTCTAAACACAAGGCTATCGGACAATTTTATCAACTAGAAAAGAAATTATCGAAAGACATTAATATTCAAACATCCTATAAATCATTCATGCACGAATACATTGAATTAGGTCATATGCAGAAAAGTATTTCTAACAAAAATCAACTGAGTTACTATTTACCACATCATTGTGTAATGAAATCAGATTCCTTGACAACGGCGTTGCGAGTCGTTTTCAACGCGTCAGCGAAAACGTCGTCGGGGCATGTCTGTAGAACAACTTAAACACCATAGTCTATGGTGGCATGGACCCTCATGGTTACCTTCATTCGACGAAAATCAGTCAAAGGAAAGTTGTGTTTACATCACATCTCAAGACATGAGAGAGATAGAACAACAAGTTTCCTCCTCGCAACTACATTCAGACGACGTCATCGACTCGATACTGAGCAAGTATGGTAGCTTTGCAAAATCGACGCGTGTACTTGCATGTTTTCTTACAATCACTGAGCTGAGAAAGGCAAAGCATATTTTAATCAAGCATGTACAGCAACATGAGTTTATGGAGGAGATCAAAAGCCTTCAAAAGCATAGCAATATAGACTCTAAAAGCAAGCTACTTAACCTAAATCCGTATCTAGACGAAAACGGATAATATTAATATTAATACTTTGGAAAATAATTTAAGAACAAATTTATTCTTAGATCTCATGTTAGAATATAAGTTTAACCAACATATAAAAGTTCCTACACGCATAACACAGACTACTTCGACATGTTTAGACTTAATATTTACTAACTTTAAAAACAATAACACATACACAACGGTTGAAGAATTCGGTTTCTCCGACCACAATGCCACCATCTTACATACAATATCGAATAAACAAAACAAAAACATAATATGGCACACAAGAAAACGATTATTTACTATCAAAAACATACAAACTTTTAAATCCGAACTTAACAAAATAAAATGGAATGACATCTTAATAAAAACTAACAACATAAACGAAAATTATAACGTTTTTAATAATATTCTAACAAACATTCTCAATTCATGTATTCCTTTAAAAAAAATTAAATTAAATGCAAAGAAGAAAAAGTACTGGCTAACAAAAGGTATTAAAATATCCTGTAAAAACAAAAGACTCCTAAAAATCCTCACACAAAAATCAAATGACCCCGTATTATTACAATACTACAAAAAATACGAAAAAATATTAAAAAAATCTGTAACAACAGCAAAAAAGCTACAATATATAAAAAGAATAAATAAATCCTCAAATAAAACAAAAACCATGTGGAGGATCATTAATGAAAATACAAATAAAACAATTAACAGCGAAAAACACAATATAAAATTAAACCTAAACAATAGTCTGGTCAATGAACCTTCACAGGTTGCTGACGTTTTTAACAACTTTTTTATGTCCATTGGTGAAAAAACAACTACACCTACCCCTAAAGGTTTCCCCGTACTACGTCAAATAGAAAATACTATGTTTCTCAAACCTGTAGATCCCTACGAAGTAAATAACATCATAAAAAACTTAAAAAACAAACAAAGTTATGGTGTTGATGAGCTCCCTCCCTCCTTACTTAAACAATGTGCGAACGAACTAACACTACCATTCTATAAATTAATAAATCAATCATTCGAAGAAGGAACCTTCCCAAACCAACTTAAAAAATCCATAATAAAGCCAATTCACAAGAAGAACGACAAAACAGACCCAAATAACTACCGTCCCATAGCTTTACTACCTATAGCCT